AATTAGAGTGTCATCAGGCTTTTTAACAACAACGAATGCAAGAAGATAACTAAGTATATTAAATGTTGGACTAAAATATTTGAAAGTGCTGTTTTAATTCAACAAATCAACATAATGCTTCCTTCATTCAGAAAGCTTGCCACAAATAAAACAAAATACAACTGAACTAAACAGTGTGCTAATAATAAAGGTCATTTACATTCTGGAGCAGTTCCTCAGCTCTGTTTGGGAACCAGTAAGCTTGTGGACCAGAACCAGCCTACAGACTCTACCTTGAGTAGCACTAGTTTAGATTTTTGTCAACTGGGGGTAAGTGGGGAAGAGTAAGGGAAGAAATCAGGGGAAGAATCAAGGGATGTGGATGCTTTCTAAGTATCTATTTTATTGGGAGCGGGGTAAGATTTAAATATCAATTTATTTTTTTAAAAAGTAAGAAATGGCCAGACACAGTGGCTCACATCTGTAATCCCAACACTTTGGGAGGCCGAAGCACGTGGATCACGAGGTCAGGAGTTCAAGACCAGCCTGGCCAATATGGTAAAACCCCATCTCTACTAAAAATATAAAAACTAGCCGGGCATGGTGGCATGTGCCTATAGTCCCAGCTACTGGGGAGGCTCAGGCAGAAGAATCACTTGAACCTGGAAGGTGGAGGATGCAGTGAGCCGAGATCATGCCAATGCGCTCCAGCCTGGGTGACAGAGCAAGGCTCGGTCTCCAAAAAAGAAATAAGAAATGATTAAAAACAGCATAATAAAATTAGAATAAACAAAAATAATTTATTATAGAAACATATCCAGGTATCAATTACTATAATAAATTCAACTATTAGGCTTATTCTATTTAAAAGGCAAATCTTTAAAATTGAGACATATGCTGTTTATAAGAAATACTTGTAATCTAGAAACAAAGATGAAAAAAATGAAAAAAAAACACTATGAAACAAATACAAGTCAAAATAAACAGCATATCTATATTAACAGATAGATTTTCAAGAAATAATTATTAGAGATGGAGCGGATCCTCTTTATATAATGACATAAGTTTAAACTTACCCCAAAGTTAATAATAATTTAAAATATATATGTACCTAATAAAATAGCCCTAATATATAATACTGAAAAAGTAATAAAATAACAGGGAGAAAATGCACCACAGAGGAAGTTTTCAACTCATCTCCCTTAATTACTTAGATAACTGCCACAAAAATTTGGCAGGACTACAGAAGATCTGAACATGACAAATAAGCCTGATCTGATCATTAAAGAGTTCTGTATTCAACAATTAGAGAAAACATATTTCTCTTGTACTATGCCATTAAAAGATACCCTTAATAATACTGCTTTTCAGTCTTTAAGATCAAGCGAACAAAAACCTTAGTAGGCAAGTTGTGGTGGCTCATGCCTGTAATACTAGCACTTCGGTAGGCTGCGTTGGGCAGGTCAGTTGAGGCCAGGAGTTTGAGACCAGCCTGGCCAACATGGTGAAATCCTGTCTCTACTAAAAATAAAGAATTTATTGGGTGTGATGGCAGGTGCCTGTCATCCCAGCTACTTGGGAGACTGAGAAATAATTGCTTGAACCTGAGAGGTGGAGTTTGCAGTGAGATCATGCCACTGCACTCCATCCTGGGCAACAGAGCAAGACTCTGTCTCAAAAATAAATAAATAAATAATTAATTAATTAAACAATAAACTTTAAAAAATAATATTATAAAAATCATAATATCTACGAATTACATATTTAAGTCAGAAGTTAACAAAAAGTTAACATAGAAATCCCCTACATTTTTAAATATTAAAACACATGCTAAATTACTCACAGGTTATAAAAGAAATAATAATGGAAAATTTAAAACAAACTGAATTATAACGAAAAAAGTAACTCAGCAAAAATAGAGTGGTAGGCCAGGCACAGAGGCTCACATCTGTAAACCCAGCACTCTGTGAGCCAAGGCAGGCAGATCACTTGAGGTGATGAATTCAAGACCAGGCTGGCCAACATGATGAAACCCCATCTCTACTGAAAACACAAAAAAAGTTAGCTGTGTGTGGTGGCGAGTGCCTGTGGTCCCAGCTACTCAGGAAGCTGAGGCAGAAGAATAGCTTGAACCCAGGAGGTGGAGGTTGCAGTGAGCTGAGATTGCGCCACCACCATCAGCCTGGGCAACAGAGCCAGACTCCATCTCAAATGAACAAACAAAAAAAAAATAGAGTGGTACTTTAAGGAAAACTTACAACCCTAATAATTATATTAAAGAAGGGAAAAGTCTCAAAATTAGCTAAGTATCCAGCTTAAGATGTGTGAAAAAGAAGAGTATATTATCCCAAACAAAATAGAAGAAATCACAGAAATTTGAGAGAAAGCCAACAACAACAACAATAAAAACAAAACAAAAATACATTGCTAATCTTCTGATCAATAAAGCCAAAAGTCGGTTCTTTGAAAAACATAACAAAATAAGACAAACCTCAGGCAAGACTGATCAGAAGAACAAAAATACAAATAAAACAATGGTGGCATTTCAGATCAGTGAGGCAAAAGAAAAACTAATCAATAAAAAATGACTACTATTCCAGCAAAACTGATAATAAAAAAGAAAAAAATGGACTGGGTATGGTGGCTCACGCCTGTAATCCCAACACTTTGGGAGGCCAAGGTGGGTGGATCACCTGAGGTCAAGAGTTCAAGACCAGTCTGGCCAACATGGTGAAACCCCATCTCTACTAAAAGTACAAAAATTAGCCAGGCATCTGTAATCCCAGCTACTCAGGAGGCTGAGACAGGAGAATAGGTTGAATCCATGAGGCGGAGATTGCAGTGAGCCAAGATCACGCCATTGCACTCAGTCTGGGTGACAAGAGTGAGACTCCCATCTCAAAAAAAGAAAAAGATGAAACTGGATCCCTACCTCACACTATATACCAAAAA